CTCTTATACCCCAAGGTGGTGCCCTGCAGATGGCATTCACAGTTGTGAGTTCTGAACATTGCAACAATTTGTTCAAAATCTTACATACCTGCTTGGTTATTCTTTTCTCCTCTGTTACTCACACGAAACTACACATCTTTAAGATTATGGAAACGCTTCATTGTTAGAAAATGATGTAAGGTGTTTTTTTCCCCCCACACATTAACAGTGCGATCCCCTGCATGTTTACTCAGAAGAAAATTCCACTGGATTCAGTAGGCTTCCTTCCACATTAGACTAACTGTGTTTACAGCCTAAGGCTGTGATGGAACAAGTTTTGTTGCACTCCGTGAGGTTTACTTCTGAAGAAATATGTTTAGCATTGCACTTTATGTACTGGAACTAATCAAGTACACTAGCATTGAACATTACATTTTGAAGATCAATTTTTTAACTGGAAAATTGGATGAAGAGAAGATGCAACTAGCAAGCATTTCTGTAATCTCTTTGAGAAAAATTGTCCGTGTCTCTGGGAAAGAGATCTTTAACTTTGTTTCCATTCTGTGATGGCATGAAATTACTCTGCAAAACTCAAGCAACCATTATCTGAGCTTCGTGACCTGAATACTGGCTTTGAATTCACTGTGTACCTCTCAGATTGCTGTGTGTCTGTATGGAAGCTTTTCTAAACAGATTGCTTGTTTTCCCAAATGTAATTATTCCAGTTTTCGCCTTGTCCCCGAGGGCTTTCAGCAAACATGATCCTGCTTTGCACAGTTTCAGTCAGGTTAGCTGATACAAACAACTGTATCCAGAAGGCATTCATTCTGTTGCAGCAGAGATACAGCTTCCCAAAGTTCATATGGTAATGTCACAATTAGAGATGGGGACGAATATAAAAACATCTGTTTTTCTGATGAATGTAGCTGATTTGTCATGTATTCATTGATCCACATTTGTAAAATTTTAAATCAGGATGAATATGGCTTGATGAATATTTCCTCGGTTTTATTCGTCGGTCCATTCATATTGGTCTATATTCGTTACCCCTTTGGGGGGGGCTCTCTGAGCTTGCTGGCGCCAATTCGAAGCTCTGGCCAATCAGGATAGAGATCCTGGATTGGCATGTCCAGCAGCCAATAGCGCAGCTGAAAGGTGTATCTACTTTTACAGACGCTTCATATAAGCTTATCCTGTCCAGCCATTCCCCACTTCTGTTCATGCTCTCCAGAGTGAGAACAGTTGCTTTTCTCTGGCTTGATATTGCTCTTGTGGTTTCGCTTTTGCGGCAGCAAAGCAAGGACTTATATTTTTCTTTTTCATCATCATTCATCAATCATCATCAACTTTAGTGGGAATTTGGGGAGGGATTTCAGGTAGCTTAGGCTACTTCTTTGGAAGAGCTTAATTTCATTTTAAATTCAGATCAATCAACCTTTTTTCCCCTGGAGGCTTGTGTGTGTGTATGCATCGTCCAGGGCGGAGTGTCGTTGTGTGACTGTGGAATCTCTTTTCGGGAGTGTCGTTGTGTGACTGTGGAATTTCTTCTCCTTTATATTCAGTTTTCAAAAGTGTCTCTCAGGGAATTTGGTGGGTGGTTGGATCCATCATTCCTTTTTCTACTAAAATGTCTGTCTGTCTGTCTCTGTCTGTCTGTCTGTCTCTCTGTCTCTCTGTCTCTCTGTGTGTGTGTGTGTGTGTGTGTCTAGGGACGATTATTCAGTGTTCAAAAGATCATTTTAGGGAGGCTTGTGTGTCTCAGGGAATTTGGGGGGGTGGATGGCAGGGCTTTTCTTTTTGGACTTTTTTGGTTTCTCTGCCACAGTGGGTTGGGGGAAAAATTTCCTAATTAAATTATACTGAGGGGGGACAGCTTTGTTTAGGCAGGCAGGTCACATTTTAGTAAAAGAATTAAACCACCATCATTCTAAAAATAAAATGTATACACACTCTATTAGTTTCCTTCCTCAATCTCCATTGCTTTATTTGTTTAGTTGGTTTGTGATGCAGACAGTAGAAAATGATTTTTTCAGGGGCAGTCCAAGGGGAAGAAGGCTGTGAAGCTATGCAGGCTAGGTAGCAGCATCGTCATCATGACCACCACGTGCACAAACATGTCTACGATAACCAGTGCCACTGTCCCTCCTCCAGTGGCCTTGCAGGTAGGCATGGAACCAAAGCTTCCAGAGGTGCCGAAAGAACTGCTGCTCCTCTTCCTAGAGGAATCTGAGGAGTTACTGGTTTCCGAAGATCCCCAGTCAGTGCCCCGATGGGGCCAAAACACCTGCTTTCCGGCTGCGAACTTCCTCAATGCCTGAGGGGGCAAAAAGTCAGTGACGTTGCTGGCCATTTGAACAGTTCCCTAATCCTGCAGCTCCTTCCACTTGGGCTACATTCCAAAAGGTCTGTCTGCTCTGCCCCACCCAAAGCTTGTCTGGGCGTGGCCCCATTGCCCAGCTTCAGATTGCAAAGCTGTTCTGTTTCCAACAGCTCTGCGGCCCCGTGGATTGACCGCTGTTAGTAGCACCGACCCTGTTCATCTGATGGTGCTGCTTGGTGCTCTTGGAAGTTGCAAGCAACCTCAGTTGCCTTCTGGGGGGCAAAAACCTTTCCTTTGCAGGCAAATCTGATGTTGCTGAAGAAGACCAGAGTCTGCTCTGTTGCCTTTTGCCTCAGTGCCTTGATGGGGCAAGACATGCCACTTTGCTACTGCGAACTACCTCAGTGCCCGATGGGGCCAAAAAGCCTGCTTTCCCAGTCAGTGCCCCAATGGGGCCAAAACACCTGCTGTGCTGCCAAATATCTCCTTGCCTCCAGTCCTCCTGAGGGCAAACTCTACTTCACTGGCAAATACAATGTTGTGCGGAGCTGAAGACAAACTTGATGCCTCGTGCATGCCTCTGCCAAAGGGACCTCTCATTCTGCTGAGGCTAAATATAACTCCCTCAATGCCATGGGCTTCTGTGCTGTGTGGTAAACTCTCCTGGGGGGTACCCAATTTGTGGGTGAATAACTTGGAGGTCCGATACCCAATCTTCACCAAAGTAGGCAGGTGTGTTGGGGAAAGACATAGGAAGCTCTGTTGTGATTCTGGAGTCTCTAAGTACCTGCAGGGAGGGCCTCTTTGTGACTATATAACTCAGGGGGCATGATCCAATGTTCACTAAACTTTTAGGAGTTGTAGAAAATCATATGAGGAAGCTTCCCTGCAAATTCGGTGTCTCTCGGTCATCGGGGGCCAGTCTTATAGCTGTTTAAAGTGCAGAGGAATCGACGATTCATCAGAGAATATTCATATATTCATATCTGTTGATCCGTTAACCTTGACGAATAACAGATCAAAACGAACCACCAGTTTTAAATTGTTACGACTTTTATACTTTTAATTAGCATATGTACTTTTAATTAGTATGTGTCAACCTGGTTTGGGTTGATCAGCCATACAGGGCTATTATTGTGGCATCTTTGGATCAAAGGAAAATAAGAATAAATTTCCAACCCAACATTGCTTGTAAGTCCCACATGGTTCTATAAATGAAGGGAATTAAGAACCAGTGTGATGGAGTGTACAGTATGTGTATTGGATTGGGATTTGGGAGTTCCATAAGCGGGTCAGAACAGTGCAGATAAGGTCAGTTGCATGAATGGGCAACTTCCAGAAGTCTTCGGGCTTCCTATACTGGCCCTAATGTTGGAGGGTCACACCCACTCTTGTGACTCATCCCAAGAAAAAAAAATTCTCACAAAAATACTGTTGATGCTATGGTTTTCTACTGAAAAGCCCTCTTGCACCCTCTAGTGGCCAAAAGGGGTCAAAAAAGTAAAATGTTTTTAGGTTTGTGAGGGCCAGGTTGCTAGGGGACACTCAAAACTTGCCAGCGTTTTCCCTCACACATCCTGGACAGCACAAGAGGATTTTCTGACCAACTTTTCTAAAGGGAAGGTTTTAAAATTTTGTGTGTGCTGAGGATGCCTTTGGGCCACTTGGCGCCCAAACAGGACAATACCTGTTCTATAAGTACCTCAGTCTTCACAACACCCCTGCAAAATGGACTCTCCTGAAAATAACTATCCCCCAACATCAACCAGAGAGATAAAAGCAGGGATTTCAACCTAGATCTGCTGTCTGGAGATCACGAGAGTTACCATCCAACACATTTTGATTGTATTCTTCCCATAAAAAAGGTCAGAATATTGTAAGTATTGCACGAGTAAGCCACCTCCAGAAGTCTTGGAAAGTTGTGTGGGGAACTCTGGAAGTTGTAGTCCAGAAATACAAATCTGTGCACTTCTACTTGAAACTAAAATGCTGGTATGTGTATGGAAATTATGGAAAAACCCAGAGGGGAGACAAAAATAGAAAAACATTGGTAGTTCCCAGTGCATAACTGTGGTTTTTGACAGGTCCAGAAACAGTCTAGCTGTCAAACATAACACATGAAGTGGTCATAGCATGAATTCACATGAGCTCCAATACCTCATAATATGAGGAAGTGAATGTTGAGCTCACATGGGAACAAATCTATTAGTCTTTAAGGGCTACAATATTTTGATATTTTCCTTTTATATATACAAAATTTGTTTACAAAATTATAGGTATATATATAAGCTGAAGCATACTCATTTTACTGGCATTAATCTCCTTCATTTGTCTGTCTTTTTGTTTACAAAATTAAAGGTATACACAAAAGCTCACATGGGAACGAATCTATTAGTCTTTAAGGGCTACAATATTTTGATCTTTTCCTTATATATATATATATATGCTTCAGCTTTTTTAAAAAAAGAATCTTTAAACGGCCCCACAAGTGGCAGGGCATATCAGCCAAATGCCAGTAAACTGAGTATGCTTCAGCTTTTTAAAAAAAGAATGTTTAAAAGGCCCCACAAGTGGCAGGGCATATCAGCCACCTATAATCCAGGTGATCTCAACTGGCCCTTCTCCTAGGAATATTAAAAATGATCTGCACCAACTAGCATTCTGAAAAATTCAGAGATAAATAGATTTATTTTATTTGCTCTTTTACAAAAGCCAGTATGTGACCTTCGTACAATGCTATTTGAACCGCTCTTACTACAAAGCATAAGCCCGAAAGCAAGATGAAAAACACCTCCAGCAATTATCTTATCAACAATTTAAGATTACTTTTATAAGGCCAACTGTTATTTTCATATAAATATTTGAAAAAGCGTTTTCAAATTTGAGATTTTGAAAGTATGTTTACCTTTTGATGGATGCAGTTTAAATAGATATTGGCTAGTATCTTGTTGACTAAACTTTGAGCAGAATGGAAAACATACACTATATGCATTCCCACCAAGCCCATTCACACACGCTTCCTCTCAGCGACTGCAAGTTCAGGGCTGCAACTGGTCACGTGACAGGGAGCCTGCTGGAGTTGGCAAACAAATTTATATGGTTTCCCTTCCTCTCTACATTGAGGAGGTAGGATACTAGCCTTTTAATTTTTTTTTTAAATCTTGAAAAAAAAAACAAAGAAATAACACAGTTTTGACAGCTGGAAGGCAATATTCCAAAGTTTACAATGTATTGAAGCAGGAGATACAAAAGTCTGTGCCTGGAATCTTAATGTTTACATTTAAGGTTCTGAAATTACCTAAACTCATTAGGTTATTACGAACTTTCATCCCATTCCTCTTAGCAACCCTACAAACCAATTTTACAGACACAGAATAGATTGCAAAATGATAGAATAAGATCAAAAATGACTTTTCACATGCTACATTAAAACTACAAATTAAATAAGTCATATAATATTCTCTCCCCTGAACAACAGTATGCTTTGGATATTACCTATTTACTCCTGAAAATATTCCTGGTCATTCAAATAATGTAATATGAAATTATAGAATTATTATACCACCATATAAGAAAATAATCTTTTTTATCCTATTCTATATTGTATTTGGATGTTTTAGATGTGTGTGTGTGTGTGTGTGTGTGTTTTGAGGCGGGGCATCTGACAAAATGCTCTGGATTAGCATTTTCCTTTGGATCCACATGTTCTTTTGCCCTTTGACACTCCCAAAAAACTGTTGCTAATCTATTCCAGCCCTAAATCTCTATCGGTTTATAAAAGAGGCAGTTAAAACATCTGGCAAAAGAGCAAAAACACCACTTCTCCCTCACATTGCAGGCATTGCCTAACAGGCTCTGGACATCTTGGGGACACATCACATATTAAAGGAAATGCATATTTCCTTTTATAATGTTTTCCTTCTAGGCATGTAACTCCTTGAAAGTTCGGTGCCTGACCAATCAGACTTGCAGAGGAAGTATGGGTTTTTCTCTCAGTGACCAACTGCAAAACAAAAGCAAGCTAATTTGCAACATGCAGAGTAAGGCAAGCTCATACTAGAATAAACAGACAATTTTTATCTCTTAAAAGAGCTCTGCTTTTAAAGACTAATGGTACGCTATATTGTCAAGGGTGAATCTTAGCTGCTGTGAGATCAGAGCTCTCTAAGATAAATGTTATGACTGCTTTGCAAATAGCACGTTTTTGTGATTCGAGCTGAAACCATCTTTATACATTAATATTGTAAAGAAATACATCCCACTTTCCTTTTAGCATCCCTCATTTGCCTGCGTGTAAATGTCAACAGAATCTGGTCTCTTTTAGTGAAAACAAATCCGAGGAATCCTTAAAAAACATTTGTCTTTCATAGGGTTACTCCAAAAATGTTTGTATTAATGAGAATTATATACAATGATCTAACATTTTAACAGAGAGATCATAATTTTCCCATAGTGGTTTATTATTTTATCTTTATATTTAACCCCTAGAAGTTAGATTCATTTCAACCTGGCCTGTTTCATTGCTGAGAATATCTGGCTCAACAGCACAGATCCAGAAGAAGACATACAGATATTATACAACATGAGTGTGGAATCTTAAGATCTTCACAGCTCAAGATGGAGGACTGCCCTGACGATTCTACTCGTACTGTGTTCGCACCATCCTGTTGTTCAGTGGCTGGAGAGGCCGCCAGTTGTCTACCAAGGGGCAGAAGGGTTGCTCTGCAGTGTTGCTAGAAAGGCTACGAAATGTCATCATCTGTAGAGAAGTAAAATAAAGGTGTTATTAGGGCCAATTCAGGGTCATACGTGTCATTAATAGTCCTCTGTACCTTTTCCCTCGAGCAGCAGCATTTTCTCAGAGCTGATGTCACAACAATCAAATATGCAAATAAGTTTGTGTTTACTTTACAGTGAGCAACTGAGAAACAAACCATGGTTAAATGAAAGATACAGAATTAAGAAAAGCACATGCTATACCAAACAGACCCTTTTCACCACCTAAAAGAGCACCACTTCAATATATATGCATGTGAATAGTGCATGTGAATAAACATGCACTATGTGTGTGTGTGTGTGTGTGTGTTACAGAATACAGAATTCATTCCTCTCTATTTGAACTATTATAGCAGGCTACACTGCTCCATAAATTAGAATCCATTCATTTTCTCTACTGTTCCTTGGGGCAATCAGCCCTTCCTTGTTCTTTTTTTAAATATATATTATTACCAAAGGTGATGTAACAATGAAGTGTTGCCTTCTACTTCTCCTCGCCCACTTTCCCTGCACATCTCTCCCTATCAGTTCTTGGCTTTTATTATTTGTTTCTCTTTTAAACAGCATTGGGAGGAGGAAGTAGTTTTTGAAAGACTTGCAAAAATATTGTGAAGAGCGAGGTTTAAAAATGCAACACTCTTTATCATTCAAAGCAGGAAATCTATTTCACCTGCAAAGAAGGGAGAGAAGGCTGTCTTCTTCTGAACAACATATTCATGTTATTTGTGGTGGCGGCAGCAGTACTGGCAGCACCAGCAGCTACTACTATCAATTTACCAATATCCTTTTAAAAATATTTTTTTTTAAAAAGGCTATAAGCACAGTGGCAAGTGGCTACAGCACTCAGAGCCGTGAGACCTTTGCAAAGGAAATAAATCGAAGGCAGCATTCACATACACTGAAACAATAAAAAATGAAGTGATTCATCACTGGTACAATTTAAAACAACCCTCCTGGTGAGGAGAAATGAATCAATATTAGTTATGTTTCATGTTAACAGAAAATTATGAAACAATCTAAATAATGGTCAAATCAGTATAACTGGGGTTCTTTTGGCAGGTATGATCAATTCCTAAAATGGAAATAAAGATGAAACACTGACACAGAAGTGGCAATTTCCTCAGAAAGATTCCAGAGGCTCTTCTATCTCCAGTACTGGAATAAACTGAATCAGATACTACAAGAGATATTAGAAACTTCAATACTGATGGCACCAGAACTATTCCTACTAAATATCTTGCCAGATAGACTAGACTCTGAAAAATCATATTTAACCATTCATATTATAACAGCAGCAAGAATAGTTTTTGCAAAACACTGGAAGGAACCTAGAACACTGCAAATAGATGAAGTGATAGATAAAATACTTGAAACTGCAGAAATGGACATGCTATCAGATTGGCTAGATGCAAAAAAGAAAAAAGACAATCGGAAAATCTGGGCACAATTATATACATGGTTACAAGGTAGATAGACTAGTGGACTGATACATAGTTATCTATATGGCCGCAGAAGACACAAAATAAATGATGGATAAAGACTATCAGCCACATAATCAATAATTTGAATAATAATATATCTATTTGAATTTGATTTTTCCCTCTCACTCACTGTCTATATTTCTTTCTGATATATGGAACTATTACTAGAAGAGAATGTATAGAATTACTATGAAAAATATTTATTTGCAATGTATCTGTTCAAATCCATCCCTTCCAAGGGTACCCCTATCCCAGCTGCCCCTTACCTTACCCTACCTTTATAAGGAAAATAAAAAATAATTAAAAAAAGAAAAGAAAAGAAAAGAAAGCAAGCTTCCAGAGGCCATCTGCAAAAACAACAACAAAACTGTAACCCTTTGGGAAGAAAGGTTCTCTTCTGCAGAGTGAGTCTCACCAGATTATCCAATCCTACTTGACTCATTTGTTGGCAGCTCTCTCAGTCACAGAGATAATCTCTCATTGGTTGTTGTAGGCCATGAAAGCCTTCGAGAATACATAATTTCTCATTGTTTGATCCATGTATTATAAGACATAAACTAATTTTACTTCACAGACAGAGAATCCGGTACAACACTCTTTGCCTCTCTTCCTTTTTCTGGTGTTTCTGAATAGTCCTAATTTTATTCAGTTTCTCTGAGTACTGTCAGGAGCTTCAAGAGGCTAGAATGAAGAATTTTTATGTTGCTGTATGGCTGCCTCTATGTTGTAAGAGTAGACCCAGTCTAGACGGGTGGGGTATAAATCAATCAATCAATCAATCAATCAATCAATCAATCAATCAATCAATCAATCGTTTTTATTCATTGGTTCTAATTTGGCATATTATTTAAAAAACAATTTATTGTATTTTTTAGCACTTTTAGCTTGTGTGACTTTGCTGGGAGAGAAGGAATTTAGGAAGGGAGGGAAGGAGGGGTGGAGGATAAAAGGAAGGGGCGGGGAGGATAAAATGGGAATATGTGTTAGAATTCTGTGATGTCTTTTCCAATAACATTGAAGTAGGTCCCAAATAAATGCTAATGAGAATACAGTACTGACATTAGATCAGATCAGTATGCTGAATCTATAGACACTGAAGTACTTTCTCTGGAGTCAACTCCCATTTTCTTTTATAGTGGAAAAATAAATTTAATAGATTTAAGAATAGAGTCTGAAAACTGGCTTTGGTTCTCCCATTGAGTAAATAAGCAATCAAACAGTGACTAAACTGAACCCCAAGATGATCTTCAGGCCTTCCATTAAGTTCTGATTCGTCTGCCTCAGAAATATCGAGCATTATTCATGCACATATTAGTACTGAACATTTTCTGATTACTGGAGCAGGACTTTCAGCAAACTGCCCACATATATTTTCATGAGATGCAAACGTAAGGAAACAAAAATGACTGTTTTCCTTTCTAAAATTACCTGGTCCGAACTGACAACTATAGGCTCTTTCAGAAGAATCCAATCAACACACTCTTCACAAGGTGGTGTAGTGAAGGAACCATAATAAGTGAAGTAGCTCCGTTTTTGAGGAAAAAGAATAGATGGATCGAAGTTTAGAAAAGGAACCTCTTTTCCCTTAAATAAATAAAAGAAGAAGTGCCACTGTTAAAGACGCAGGGAGAGAGAAAATCTAGTTGCATAGGGGTATAACAGTTCGTTTAGTATAAAACAACCACCTGGACCTCTTCTTATAATTAACCAAACATTCCTTTGAGGAAAAATATTTAGGTCCCCTGTAAGAGCTGAATATTGGTTGTGTATTCTTGCCAATAAAATGTACATGGATATGTAATCCTACTAGTTCCTTTGTTGGAAAAATAATTGATTAATCAGTTCCCCAAGAAGCCAATTTTGGACTGAATATGTTGAGGTTTGTTGCAGATCTAGCCATGCTTCAAGTAGACCCACTGACTAAATAAAATTTCAGCAGGTCTACTAGAAGATTGGGAAGAGTGCAGCCCTTCAGATGTTGATGGCCTGCAATTTCCAGGAGCCCAGCAAGATTTCATTTTGGTCCATTTTGGTCTGTTCCCAGTATGACAAAATCTAAAACTAACCCACAGTGTATTAAAATAGGTCAGAGAGGTTGTTTTAAAAAATGGCAAGATTGTAACACGTTACAGATATCATCCTTCTCTTAAGAAAAAACTTGGGTGTCTTTCAAGGACCACTGCCACAAGGCAGTGGCTAATGTTCAAAACTATGACTATATGAATTGTGTGAAGATGATGGGATAACTGTCGTTGCTCTGATGGTTTAGATCATAATGGTAAAGAATCTTACAGTTCTTTTCAATGTATGGGAGGCCAGCTGGGGTTTTTTGTTTGTTTGTTTGTTTTTAGTATGGAAGGCCAGCTGGGGTTTTTTGTCTGTTTGTTTGTTTGTTTTTGTTTTGTTTTTTACTCACCCAAATTTAAGGGCCAAAATATGCATTACAGAGAGCATGTCATTAGGTGCTCAAATCCACTGATGTCTCAGAGGCAGGTTTCAGGCAAAACTGCATGTCTGAGCAATTGTGCTTGCAAATGAAACCCACGGTTACCTTCCAATGACTGATCAAAAGCAAAGTGAACTAATTTACAAAGAAGTACTGGATATATGAAAAGCTCTGACTGTGAAAGACATTAAGGAATTCTACCTACGGACAATGTGCTACTGATAAAGTAGGCATATTCTGAAGCTGAATCCTTCATCTAGTGTATTTCTGGAATAAAGCCAGCCTAAGAAATCCCAAATGTACTCTACTTTCACTGAGCCTCTCATGGTCTTCAACCACCGATTTAGTATCAATTTTTCTTTTGTAAAAATTTGAAATTAGCTCTTAGTGGCCAGCTTTTCTATCTTTCTGGTTCTGGCTCTGAGGTCTCAATACTTGTCCACTTTGCTGGTTGTCACAAATTCCATTCACCATCTAAAGTGTACTAGTTCCTTTTAATAAACTGAGAATATGTTAGAAATCTTATCATTAGCTGATTCTTCTAGTTACCTTTGTCTTGATAGCATCTAGTTCTTCAAGAATCCTTTTCATCTCTGGCTTGGGATTTTTCCCTACCTGTCATGTAGAAAGCACAAGATGAATGTCTGTAGAAGGTGATGTCCTTACCAACATTGCCGCTATTAAGTTATAAATCATAACATCATGGAAAATGGATCTTTAACCTGTACATAAAATAAGTCTGTACAACTTTCCAAAGAAGTATATTAATATATGCCGTGTTCCTAGGCTACAATGTCAATTGTTAAGCCACTCAAAATCTTTAATGTTCTCATTCTCCCTCTCTCTCTTTACCTGCTATGCAAACAAATAAACAAAAAAGCAAAATAATAGTAGGTTCATCTCTAGGGGAAATGCCTGCTCTAAAATGGCATCTGCCCTTAAGTTCTCACATTAATATATCTTTTAAGCAGTATTAACTCTTTTTGCTTCATTAATTGTGACACTTTTAATCCTTCGAAACAGAGCTAGGCTGCAATGCTAGCAACATTTTCTTGGGAGTAACCCCACTGAATTTAGCATACACTGAATAGTTTATCCAAAGCAAGCAAAATGAGGGCTTTCATGCTGATGCAGCCCTGCATCTTGTCAAAACTTGATGCAGAGAGTTCTTGGACTTCCAGAACAGGTTTTCAAGCTGCACATGAGGAAATTACGGGGGATGTGGGGTGGAATCAAAATTTCTGCAGAAACTATTGGGATCCAAAATAAACACTCTATTGGATCATAGCACCTTCTTTTGAATAGACACACATAAAATGGTGGTGGGAAATGATTAAATTAGTGGTTCCTATCCCTGGGTTTCCAGATGTTCTTGGACTAAAACTCCCAGTTCACCATTAGCTATGCTGGCCAGGATTTCTGGAAGTTCTAGTCCAAGAACATCTGGGGAACCCAAGGTTGGGAGGGATTGTCACTCTTGTATTGGCCTTTCAAAATTGCACTCCTAAACTCACCGTTCCATCCTCCAGTAAGCATTTCACTGGTATACCAGTGCTAGTCCTACCATAAGCTCCACTGAGATTCTCAACACAGGTAGCAAACTGTTGAGTCTTCCCTAACACTGGCCAACCTGTTACCTCTTGCTGGTGTTATCATGACCCCAAGGGCAAGCCATTTTCTGTGGGCCCGCTTTCAAAGAGGGATGTTCTTCACTGGAGATGGCAGTACTTCTACACGCATTCCAACACACTGCCCCCAGAGAAGGAAGAGGCAAGTGGTGCAGCTCAATAGCCAGGTCTCCTTAGAACTAACTGGAAGTTGGGAAGCACTAGCTCCTTGGAGTGCTCTTGGATCTAAAGCAGGTGAGAGGGATGTCTAGATAATTTAGTTCTACCAAAGTTTAGGTGATATAGTTGGAACACCTCCAACATTTTTCTTGGCTTCAAAAAGATGCCAGGGTAAAAAAAAAGCAGCAAGAGCCAGTTACTGTCCCACAATGCCTGCCAGCCTTTTGCAGTGATGTAAAGGGAAATGTGTACAGGTATCACTGTCTACAATGAGGAGATCACTTTCCTCTCCATTCAGGCAGCATGGTGGCCATGATGAAAGTGGTGGGGGAGCACCTTTCTTTCTGAGTGAAATGGCACAAGTGCTTGAGCTAACCTTATGATGTACCGTATTAAAATACTGTTATATGGATAACAAATGATAGATCAGGGCTTACCTTCATAAAAAGGGCCACTACAGCCACCCCATCCCTTTTCCTTAAAGCATCATTATAATTACTGTATTTTGAATTCCAGTGCACCAAATGAATCTGAAAACAAGGAAAAACAATACAAATGCTAGCAGAGAGAACAAAGGCACACATCTGATCTTTGTGCAATTTCCTAGAAAGACTGTATGATTCTTTCCCTTACTGGGCACCAGTGTATTTCACCACCAAGTGACAAATGAGAATCCACTCATAAGTTCGGAGAAGGTAGAAAAGGAATAGAAAAGTAACATGAATATTGCAGACCTGATTATTAGGCATGTCTTTAACGTACAACACAATTAAAAACATAAATTACAAGAAAAGGGGAAATTTCCTTGAAATGGATAAGATAAAGGACAAGATTATGTTCATCCGCAGAAAATAGGAAATACACTGAAAACATGTGCATCTTAACTGTGATTTCAGGATGGAAAAAAAGGCGCAATCTGAATTTATGTATTCAGACCGTACTGTATAAACATATATACCAATCCTTATAGGAGTTCATGAGTCCTTTTAAGTTTGATGCATTCTACTCATCCCTGTTTGGTCCAGAGCTTCAGAAGACATGGAAGCATTGGCAGGTATACAGAAATACAGGATTCTAATTTAGAAACAGCTTTGCATAGCTTTCTAGATCTCTGTGTCCCATCATGCATTCATTTTTCAAAGGTTTGTAATGATGATAGACTACAGCTTGCAAAAGTTATTGCTTTGGATCTCACTTCCCAGAATCCACAATGGGAGCATGGGGAATTATGGGAGCTGACCAATAAGGATGATAGCCATACAAATAGTCAGATGTACCAACGTTTCTTCTCCCCCATTTTCTCTTCCAAGTAACATTTGCTGATATGTAGACTGCTATTCTTAGGCTCACTTACTTCCTTCTTCTCCAAAGTCAATGTAGTTTTCACTTTCCTTTCTTAAAGAGTGGTATTATTTTGGCTTTCCATAAGGGCTACCTACAGATTGTATTTGTCTTCAGTGTGGAAGGGATTGTCACTCTTGTATTGGCCTTTTCAGCCATACTAAGCACTATTCCAAGACCTCTATTCAGAGCATGTTATCATAGTCTCTTGAGTCTGAAGGATGCCTATCTACCTACAGTGCATAGAAACTAGCACTGGGGACTTTTGTAACTAAGCTCAAGATTCTTTCTTCCTGATCTGTCTCTGCATAGACTTCTAGCACTAGGGATTTTTGTAACTAAGTTCAAGATTCTTCCTGATCTGTCTCTGCATAGACTTCTGAAGCAATAAAATACAAGTTTCCTTTCCTTTTTAATAACACAGTTATTATCTTCCAGAGCAGTTATTCCTGTTCAGTAGCCACAAGCTCAGATCTGCCCACTGTAATAGTATAAATACAAAATAAGTGTATTATCCTGACTGGGTTATCATTAACCACTTGCTTATAAATTGGGCTATTATATAAACTCATTAAGCTGCTTATAATGAACTAGCGGGCTAGGAGCAGGAAGTGTACAGATCATTCCAGCAAAATATTTGAACATAGTTTTGTCAAAAAAACGGAGACAAGAATTCTACAGTGACCACTGTACCCTTATACTCACCTCTCCCGCATACCTTGTTAAATCCACAACATGTTCTGAGCCTTTATCATCTGTAGAACCCCAGTGGATGCGAAGCTGACGCAGCCTGTAAATTGCTTCAAGAGGTCCTCCCCTCAGTACTGCAATAAATTATCTAGATTAGACTCAAGAATTTGAGAAGTGGTTTATGTGCCAAATTACAACCAAGTGGCCATCATTGGATCTTGCATCTGGAATCTTTGGATGGAAACAGGCTACATTGTTGGTCGCTTGGTCCCTCGTTCGAGTTATTTTCTGGCCTGATGCTTCAGTAACAGTAGGTTCCTTTAAAATATCCCATTATGCTTCACAACAATGCTATGCTGCAGGCATTGTGCAATTTTTAAATGGTGGATAGACTGAGCTGCCCAGAGCCCTGTTGTTAGTGCCACCAGGACCCACCAACGGATAAGGAGGACCATCAGAGGACATTATATCAAAACCAGAGCTAACTCAAGTGTTTGTTGCACTTTACTAACACTCTTTTCTTACTAACAGAATCCTATATTCTTCTTTATTTTGTGACATAGATTAATAACAATTGAAGAAATGGTGGCAAAGACCTCCTCACCATACAGTGCTTCCCCCTCTTGGCATCTCTCGACCTGCCCCATCACTGTTCTAAAAATTATCCCTTCAAATCTAAATACACATCAATGTATGTACCGTATTGTTTTGTGTGTAAGATGATACTGTTTGTCTAAAATCTTTAGACTAAAAATTGAGGGTCATCTTATACACTGAAGTAAGTTAAGGAGAGAACAAAAGGGCCCATACCTTGCCTCTGCAAACAGGCTGCCTCCAATCACAAGGCTTATGTAACTGATGTCAGCTGATGCTGTACAAACCAAATGGAACATACCTCATTGGAGGTGGAGACTGTAGGCAGTGCTCAGATTCAGCAGGGACTTGTAATGTCTGCACATTCTGAGCCCAGAGGCTGAATACTTAAAGCTAAGATTTCTTAGTTTTGGAAATGTTCTTGCTAACAGGAAGAAGGAAAATTAGCCCACCTTTCCTGTGTTGGACTTTTTGCAATCTTGCTTGTTGCCTTTAGTAGGTTGGCTGGGAGGGACCATTCTGGGCTGGAATGACTTTCAGTCTATCCAGCACTAACTAATAGTTCCCTTCTGTGTCTGAGTTCAAATAGAGAGCCCTGCCTGCTCAGCCTTTCCCCCTTTGTTTAGTCTGTTGGAACCAATGAGTTTGTTGAAGCCTGTTGTTGAAAACAATCATGTTTGTCAGTTTCCTGTTTGATCTGTTCAGTTGTAAGTAATGAAACTTTTTATTCTTTCTACTACTAATGTCTCTGTGTGAGTTATTGAAACTGTGCCAGTTAATGAGAAAAGGGGAACTTGAGCTATTCTGCTCTGTGAATCCCTGCTCTTCTGTTGCATAGCTAAAGGAATTTAATCAAAAATTCTAAACTCTGCAACTTCCTCTGCAGAGTTCACAATTGAGAACAAAAAGACCCTTTTATTCTCACAGCAACTCAGTGAGTTAGATTAGACTGACAGATTGTGATTGGCCCAAAGTCACCCAACTTGCGCTGGATTATGGAGAAAGCCAGAGAGTTCCAGAAAAATATCTACTTCTGCTTCATTGACTATGCGAAAGCCTTTGACTGTGTGGACCACAGCAAACTATGGCAAGTTCTTAAAGAAATGGGAGTGCCTGTCCACCTTATCTGTCTCCTGAGAAACCTATATGTGGGACAGGAAGCAACAGTTAGAACTGGTCATGGAACAACTGAGTGGTTCAAAATTGGGAAAGGAGTACGGCAAGGCTGTATATTGTCCCCCAGCTTATTTAACTTATATGCAGAATACATCATGCGGAAGGCTGGACTGGAAGAAACCCAAGCCGGAATTAAGATTGCCGGAAGAAATATCAACAACCTCCGATATGCAGATGATACCACTCTGATGGCAGAAAGTGAGGAGGAATTAAAGAACCTTGTAATGAGAGTGAAAGAGGAGAGTGCAAAAAACGGTCTGAAACTCAACATCAAAAAAACTAAGTTCATGGCCACTGGTCCCATCACCTCCTGGGAAATAGAAGGGGAAGATATGGAGGCAGTGTCAAATTTTATCTTCCTGGGCTCCATGATTACTTCAGATGGAGACAGCAGCCCTGAAATTAAAAGGCGCCTTCTTCTTGGGAGGAAAGCGATGACAAATCTTGACAGCATCTTGAACAGCAGAGACATCACCTTGCCAACAAAAGTCCGAATAGTCAAAGCTATGGTTTTTCCTGTCGTGATGTATGGAAGTGAGAGCTGGACCATAAAGAAAGCAGACCGCCGAAGAATTGATGCCTTTGAATTGTGGTGCTGGAGGAGGCTCTTGAGAATCCCCTGGACTGCAAGGAGAACAAACCTATCAGTTCTAAAGGAAATCAACCCTGAATGCTCACTTGAAGGACAGATCCTGAAGCTGAGGCTCCAGTACTTTGGCCATCTCATGAGAAGAAAAGAGTCCTTGGAAAAGACTTTGATGTTAGGAAGGTGTGATGGCAAGAGGAGAAGGGGACGACCAAGGATGAGATGGCTGGACAGTGTCTGCGAAGCAACCAACATGAACCTGACACAACTCCGGGAGGCAGTAGAAGACAGGAGGGCCTGGCGTGCTCTGGTCCATGGGGTCACGAAGAGTCGGACACGACTAAACGACTAAACACATACACACACACCCAACAAGCTTAATGCTGAGTGAGGATGTAAAACTGGATCAGCCAGTCCTAGGTGAGCACTCTTAGATGTGTCACTATAAAGAACAAACAAAAGTATGACAGAGGACAATTAAGAGCAAGCAATCTTGTTAGAGAACAATAAAAGTTCAAATGTGCCATTTTTGAGTAAATTAGATGTCACTCTGTGAGTATCGAGGCTGGGCCTTTGGCCAAAATTCATAATCTCCCTATCTATAAATAGAGCCTGCCTTCTAGTTTAATGAAGATCCAGAAATAATGACAAGAAAGGGACCTGTGAAGCACAAAACAGAGAGCCTATATTGCAGAAGAGGGTTCTGAAGTTACGTGTTCTCCTTTTTACAGGTTCTTAGTACAAAACATCCTGACAGTGCACTCCTTCCTCCAATCAGATGCAAAAACAGCCATGTTTCCCTCCGTAAATGAATCAGGGCCCATTCAAAACATTTAGTTGCCTGTGGCAGAATGTATAATAGCCACACCCCATACTCATTCCATGAACAGTCAACGGACAAGACAGCTAAGCACAACACTGGTGACAAGACAGTATCCTCTACTTCCTTTAGGGTAGCACATTCTAATCATCATCATCTTTGAACTGCATACTGTAGCTGGAAGAGACCCTCTGGATCACTGAGTCCAGCCTATCAAGGAGGCATACTGGAGAATTGAACTCCCAACCTCTGGCTCCACCACTGAGCTATCCAGCAGTCGCTTGGGATGGCGTAGTTCATGTCATGTGGGATTTATAGCTCTTGCCTCTCTCCAACACTTCACTTCCATTCCCTATATTCCTTTGCATTTGTTATTTGAGGAAGCCACCTTGTAAGCAAATTGGAGGATAGGGGAGAAAAGCAGCAACTGAACAATTTCCACTAATTTTCTTCCTGCCATGCCAGTATGTTTAGAACTCCTGTGAAATACACTGTGAAGGGGAGGTATGGCATGGCGTGGTGTGGCATGAGTTGAATCAGTGCTGAGTATAGGTTCCTTCTCATTATAAGGGAGAAGAGCTATTTGTGTGCAATCCCTACGTCATTCATGCAATGAAATCAATCGTCCTGAGAGGCGAGCCATTTTGCACAAATACCTTTCCACACAGCTAGGGCGCCACTAATTTGAAGCCATCATGCTCCCTGATGAACATTTGAAACGATCCAATTTTTCTCTCACAGCTTATTCTTTATTCACATCCTTACACATTATTGAATGTGACTGTATTATGTTACAATGTATTTGCAACTGTTCTTCCCCTGCATGACAGGCCAACAACTACAGCAGCTTTCAGCATTGTTCTCCTGCCAAAATTCTCGGAGGGAAGGAAAGACGACTTTTTATAAGCTTGCATAATGCTTCCAAACAGTGGTTTAGTTTGAACTGCTTATCTGCTGACTGGCTGCTAGTCATACAGCAAACACAGAGAAGGAAGAGAACAAGTGTATTGTTGTCAAGTTGTCAAGGCACTTCTGACTTATGGTGACCCTATGAATTAGTGACGTCCTAAATGTTTTCTCCTTACAGTCCAGCTCGGGTCTTGCAAACAAGAGGCTATGGCTTCCCTTATTAAATCAATGCATCCTATGTTTGGTCTTCCCCTATTCCTGCTGCTTTTAACATTTCACAGAATTATTGTCTTTTCCAATGAATCTTGTCTTCTCATGGCGCATCCAAGTACAATAGCCTCAGTTTAGTTATTTTTGCTTCTAAAGAGAGTTCAGATCTGATCTGATCTACCCTGTTCCCTCAAAAATAAGACAGGATTTTATATTAATTTTTGCTCCAAAAATGCATTAGGACTTATTTTCAGGGGATGTTTTATTATTATTATTATGTACAATAATCTAGGTTTATTGAAATAAAGTTATTGTACAATGACAAACTGTGCAATGACTGTATTCAGATACAGTCATTGCACAATGGTGGAGGGCGGGGTTTCACTTAACTAGGGCTTATTTTTAACTAGGGTTTATATGACGAGAATCCTGCAAAATCATACTAGGGCTTATTTTCAGGTTAGATCTTATTTTAGGGGAAACAGGGTAGCATCCACTTTTTGTCTTTCTGGCAAGCCACGCTATCCATTAAGCTCTCCTCTATAATCACATAAGATGAATCTGCTGTTTTCCTGTCAGTTTTCTTCACTGTCCAGTTTTCACACTCATATGTACATAGTAATTGGGGATATTACAGTATGGGTGATCTTGATATTTGTCTCCAATGACATAATCTTATTCTTAATGTATATAGTAATTGGGGATATCACAGTATGGGTGATCTTGATACTTGTCTCCAATGACATAATCTTATTCTTAAGGTTCTCTTCTAGTTCCTTCACAGCTGCCCTTCCAAGTCTCGGTCTTTGTCCAATTACTCAGCTGCAATCTCTATTTGGATTGACAACTGAGCAAAAGTCCATTTCTGATACTTAAAAATGTTGGAGTTTCTAGCAAAATTTGTATGGTGTCTTTAAGAGGTTTTGGCTGGGAGGGACCTTTCTAGGCTTCGGTGAGTGTCAATTAATCCAGCAGTAACCAATTGTTCCCCTCTCTGCCTCCGACTTTGAAGAGAGACATGCTTCTCTATTTAAGAGTCTTTTCCCATGCTTTTTCAGACAGTACAGTATTCAGTTTTTATGTTGTAGTTAGTCATATAGTCAGTTAAGGCCTGTTCATGTAACCAGTTAATTTTTCTAAAATACACTATTTTTAATCTGTTCAGAACCATGAATAAATGGAAACCATTTTTTCTTTCTCATACCAATGACTCTGAGTGACTCATGTTACCAGTTAATTCTTCTACAATACACTATTTTTAATCTGTTCAGAACCGTGAATAAATGGAAACCATTTTCTTTCTTTCTCATACCAATGACTCTGAGTGAGTTGTTGAGATTGCAAGTGCCAGATGAGGAGAACCAATAAGGGGTGGTCTGTTCTGGGGAGATTTGAAACTAGTTCTGCTCTGTAGGTCCCTGCACCATCTGCTGCATATCTACAGAGATTCCTTCTAGCCAAAAATTTACATTCTGCCAAGAAAAAAAAATCTTTACCACAAGCACTATGGAATGTGGGGACATGCAGTATGTGTCCCTCCTCCACATGTGCAATTCCTCTCATAAACTAGAGATTATAGAATCTTCTTGGTATATACTAGGCCCAGGCAGTCTGAGCCAGATTAATAGAACACATGCACATGCATTCCTCCTAGAAGAGTGTAGCCATCAAATCCTTCCACAGACAGATTCCTGTTTTTGTCATGAAAAACCCACAAGAACAAGTTTGTTTTTGGGATCCTTCTTCATGTGAGAATTCTGTAGTCAAGGAAACCAATGTCACTGGAGGGGTGGGAACAGGCTCCTCAACTGGAAGCTTGCCATTTCCCACAAATCCAATGCAAGTGTCTATGGTTAGGCCATGTAGCCGTCCGCCACTGTAAGGAGAATTGATTCTTCCTTGAGTTGGAAGTCACTGAGGAGCAGATAAAAACAGAATTCACCAGGCAATGAATCTTAGCTCTGCTTACATATAGTCATGGAAGACCAAGTCTTACTGATGCCACAGTTTGGAAAGCCTCACCTGTTGCCAGATTTACAATTGACAGGTGACAATCCAGAAACAAAAATAATGAGGCTCAGTCTTGCACATGCTACAACTGATGGCTCTGCAATGGTGTTTTATGACTAGCCATATAGCACAGGTGGTCATGTCAATAACAGTGCATTAACCGAACCAGGAATAAATAAAGCTTTGCTTGGCAAAGTCATTTCACATGTTCTTTGTCATTAGGGTTAGTAAAGTCAACTGTGCACATTTGGCAATATATAATTACATGCCTTACATTCCTAAGAGATATTTCCTCTAAAATAAGCTTCCTTTTCATAGGTGAAAACAGCTCTGAATACAAACAAGACTTCTGCTGTATAAAAGTCTGGCATGCAGAGCTGTTGGGAAGCACCTTAACATGTTATCCTGCAAATGAACCATCATTTCTGGCCTACAAAGCCCTGGCCCCACGATTCAACCCCTACGCCTCTCGAGATACTAAACTTGTCTTTATTTGCAGCCTAAAAATGGAAAGGAACCCATGTCTCCAGGGACAGAAAGCTGATATAACCCAATGTCCTATGGCAATCCCAGAAGGCCTTTCTTTGAACAACATTCAAGTTCGTTGACCTCCGGCAATAGCACGGAATTTCATCGTTAACGCTGCTGCACTGCTTAAATCCTTTTGTGCCAGAGCATTGCTGGTCTCCTGTCAGTGATTGATATCCTATGTGCTGGGATACCCGAGAATAAAAGATGTGTTAAGCACAAGGTGAAGAGCTTAGCATTGACTTCTCTTTCTTTCGTTGGCACAGGGCATGCCTGTCTACATAAAGCACTGTCTCTCCTGCTCTGCGGTGTAATTCTTCTCATTCTGGTCGGCGTACAAATGTGCCCGTACAAAAATAAATCACCCCATCGACAAAAGGCAATTATGTAAAGATCTTGGAGACCCCTGTGAAGACTGCGTATGTTCTGCCGTGGCCATATGACAAAGGAGGATAAGAAGACGCAGTGAGACAAAAGGTGTGGAGGAGGCCGGTGGTGGCTCTGCAGTGAAATCAGAAACAGTGGTCCCTGAGGTGAAGGTTGTTCTCTCACAGCCAGGTTCCTAGGACTTGCTGTTCTAGTCAATGTGCCAAATGTAGGCATTAGCTGCAGCTATATTGTCACTGCGTGGCACAGCAAAAGATAGTCTTGCAGCCGTACTGCAGGAACATATAGCAGTCAAACTATATGTTACAGGTAACCCAACATTAGAAGAGGAAATTCCTTAAAGGTTCAGAATGTATGATTATCACAGCAGGAGTTCATCACATCTCCTGTAGTTTATAAAATAGCTGCTTTGTTTTGAGATTGGCCTTTAACATATCAACTTAGGCTTCATTTGCAAGTATGACCGCTTGCTCAGCCATGAAGTTCTGCCTGAATGCAGTCTCCAGAACACTGATCAGTTTCAACTTCTAATGATGGGCTACCTGTGATGGATAGTTTGATCCACAATAAAATTATTGCATGGAGATATGTCATTATAAATATACAGGAGGCACATGAAAGGTTCTAATTCTTAAATATCTGGAGCAATTCCCTGGAGGCTGGCTGAAAGCATTTGCCCCAAATATCCCTGGAGAATTAATGGCCTTTAGCAATGTGCTCAGAAAAACAAACACAAATAACTACTTAAGTTCCGGTTTGCCTTAGAAGGTCCCAAACTAAACATGCATCAGATTGTTGTTGTTTTCAAAAAGGAAACCCATTCATAGATATCTCTGCTAAAATATTTGGAGCTCAGAACCTTACTTTTTGGAAGCATTAAAAAAAATAAGGACAAATTGAAGCCACGCATAACAAGAAGGTGGCACTGATCAACTATGGAATGCTTTAGCATCTTATTAAATTAATTCTTTGAAAAGTGATTTTCCATGTTCTGTCAAAATTCTACCCATGTTCCACAATTACTTCCTATTCACATGGGGGAAAATATTTTCTACCACAGCTGAAATGAAAACTCCACTGACTAGTTACAATTCCTTCACTATTTTTAGCATTATCATTCCAGCCCACAGTACTGTTGCAGCATCAAAGATCAGCACCATCTCCCAAATTGCTATTTGCAAATTGACAACATATAGGTGAGAACGTAGCAATAATTCATGACAATCTTTTCTCACACAATCTGACAGGAAAGGGGCCCAATTCATATTGGAATCATGTAGATTTCTCCTTTCTTTAACTGTCAAAATGCAAGGAAGTGTAAATTTTAGTGGGGGGAAATGGCTGAAGGAGGAGAAGCTTAAGCCTCTTTTTACATGAACACACTGAAATCTGTGCATTTATTTCAGAAGGGGAGAAAAAGTAACTGCCTTCTACACATGTACATGGCACAGAATTCAACCTTAATATTTTTATTGGATTGCATCCCTAAATAAAGCTCCTAGGAAATAAGCTTCATTGGGCACAATGAAGCCAACACTGAAATCTGGTGTCTTCATGCCCAGAAGGAATCCTTCTGTTTACAGACTGGGCAGTCTGGATCCAATCCTACCACGTTTCAATGAAATATTGTAATAACACAATGTACTTTCTGTTAACAAACAAGAAATGTAATGGCCGGTGTGAGCTCTGTCATCATTATTATGGCATCAAATGCCTTCTTGGTGATGTTTGAGCTATGAATGGCAAAAGCCTTTGACTAAGATTCATTCCACTGCAGACCATTGTTATTTATTATTTGTTCTCTTTTCAGGATAATTTTTAAACATTTGAAGTCTTAGAGTTAAACTGTGCAAAAGTTATATGAATGAATAAAAATCAGCACCCACCCACACACCACCCACAAGTATTTTGTAACCTTCTCTGCAGGAAAACACTGGGTGATTGTAATGACCCCCTCATCTGAAACGTGATTTATGATATGAACAACCCATTTATGCTTCTTTCTATCCTTGCTGATATGTGCCATCAAGTTGCTACTGAGTTAAGGCATACAAAATAAATTCAAGGAGTGGCTCACCATGCCCCACCACCACCAGTGAGTTTTCATGGCTGAGCATGAATTGAACCCAAGTATCCCAGGCCAGGAATCCTCACAACCTGAGTTCAATCTCAATGGGACCAGGCAGTTGATTCGAGGTTGACTCAGCCTTCCATCCTTCTGAAGTCGGTAAAATGATTACCCAACTTGCTGGGTGGGGACAATGTGTAGCCTGCATAATTAAATTGCAAACCATCCAGAGAGTGTTTTATGTGGGCAGCACATAAGCAGCACAGTTTATCCACTACACCATACTGGGGAACATCTGTGGCAGAGGAAAGCACACAAAAGCTAGACCTCAACTAGATTGGTAATGAAGGCTGAGCACACTTCGGTCAAAACAGAGGCCCAAATCCTCCCCCTCCAACTGTTTCTTGAAGACAAATGGGTGTAAAGTCCTGCAATCTTGTGATTCATTCTACTCCATGAATTTTTCTTGGGTCCACGCTACTTAACCACAAGGATTTACGGAAGAGAAACTCAAACTTACCTGCACGATCGTAAGTATCATCAAACGCAATCCGGCAAGTTTTTCCAGTATTCTTTATAGTCTTAGAAGCACCTGGATCATAACCAGTAAACCAAGGCAGTAGAATGGGGTCTCTGTGGACATCCTTAGAAAGAATTGCAATGGGTGACTGATTATTCCCTCTGGCAGATGGGTAAGATTCATGCCAGCGATCAGGTCCTGAAGGGAAAAAAAGCAGCAGCAGCCAGGATATGTCATGTTGTCAATAGACATCATAAGGTCTGCAAACAGCATGTGATACACCTTCTTGAGTTGTAACTATCAGACAGTGCAGATGTTGGCTTTAAGAGTTGCCTCTGCAGTGTATTATTTTGCTCATCTATGCATTGATGTTAGAAATAAATGAAAAGGCAACTAAATTCAATTTAAGAGTACAAGCTATAATCCCAAAACCTCATAAACATACACTTCCCTGGGAGTCAGCTCAACAGGGTGTGCTTTTAAATAAACAGAGACAGGATTGCTCTAGGAGGAAGTATACGTAAGAGGCATCACTTGCTACCCCAGCCTGTCATTGTGGGTTTTCACAAATACCACCAATTAGGTTATTGTTCTGCATTCACTCTTGAACACTAGAAAGAATGTGTGCCAAGCATTTACAATATAGAATCTCATATAGAGGCTTAATTTAAAAGATACTTATAAAGGTTGCATGGAAATCCAACTGAAAGAACTCATGATTCTGTACAGCATGAGCAAACGTCTCTTGGACTACAATTTCTGGCACATCTCCACTCTGCCAGCATAAATGTCTGAAAACCCCGTATGCCTAAAATCTAGCTATTTTTTGGTTCAGAAACATGGTATGTACTGCATTCCTAACCCCTCTTATGTCCCAGGATATGCATCCTATGTCTTATCGGTCAAACTACTGGGGAGAAAAGTATAGATGCAGACAATGAAAGTTTAGTAGCTCTGCAAGAAAGCACACAGAGAAGGCCCTAGATTCCATTTTTGGCATTCCTACTAATGAAAAACCCCAAAACTCAGGATGCCCACTGCTGGTCCCAGACTAGATATGGGCTGAAAAACAAACCTTCCAACAGTGGCCCGTCTCAAATTCCCACTGGCTCTGCCAGCCTGGCCAACAGGGAGGAATGATGGAAGTCATAATTCATGAACATAAGAAGAGCTTTGCTAGTTCAGGCCCATTTAGTCCAGCTTCCTATATCTCACAGTGGCCCCACCAGATGCCTCTGGGAGCACATGAGACAACTGTCTCCTGATACCCCTCCCCTGCATCTGGCATTTTGAGGTACCTTCCTTTTAAGCCTGGAGATTATACATCCTCATCATGGCTTGTAACCTGCGATGGACTTTTCCTCCAGAAAGATGTGTGGTTAAAAATCTGTGTTTGAAGCAGGGCCCTTGCAAGAGCAAAACATTTGGGGGCTGGCTCAAAAAATTGGCCTGTAAAGCAACTGCAGTTGTCACTTCCAGTGGTTAGCCACTCAAGAAGGATATCCAAGGTATAGGAGATGTTCAAGGAGTGGTTCACTATTGAGCTTCCATTGCTGAAGGAGAATTCTCCAGAATCCCATAAACTCTGTTTTTGATATCACCGTGGCTCTCATGCAAACATTTTCCTAAATCAGCAACCAAAGAAAGCCTATCCATAGAACAAACTAGTTTCCCTTCTTAGAGATGTGAAATCCGGTACTAGAGGTGAATGCCTCTAGCACTCTAGTACTAGTAGTACTGCAGCAGTAGTTTTTGTGTTTTCCATTTCTCAGAGTAACAAAGTAGTACTGCAGCAGTAGTACTAGTAGTTTTCCAATTTTGTGTTTTCCATTTCTCAGAGTAACATTTTTTGAAAAATGTATACTTGTTGATCTTTGCCTTAATATTGCCTATTGATGTAAGATGCGAACAATTATTCATTGTTTGTCATTTTAAATATTGTATTTTAATGATGTTAACCACCAATGTATAATCATTGTTTTCAACTTTCAATATTGGCTTTCATTGTTGTAAGCTGCCTGGCGTCCTTTTCAGGGAGAAAGGCGGGGTAAAAATTTTTTAACTAAAACATCTTTTGTGGCCCGACAAAGGATGCAGTTCCCCTTGATTTGGGCGAGGGATCAGCATGGATACACAAGTCCTCTCTCTTCCTCCTTCCCGGAGCAGAGGACGGGGAGACACTGATAGTCTTCACACACGCACACGCACACGCACACACACTCGCGCGCACCCCGGGGACGTCGAGACCCCCCCGTCCACTCACCGTTTTCCTTGGAATAACCCCACGATTCCTGGGTCATGCTCACTGTCTGCTCAGTGTGAGCTCAGGCTCCTCTTCCCGACGGGGTGGGCACCTGGGTGGGCACCGCCAGTCGATGCCAGAGCCATTTATAGGGTTCGGGGCGGACTCGAGCCTAGGGAGGGGAGGACGGGAGGGAAGGAAGGGAGGAGGGAGGGAGGGAGACCAGGGCGATCATCGGCGGTGGGTCGTGCGGGAGGGAGGAAAGAGGAGCAACTCGCGAGGGGGTTGCCTCGCAGGTTCGGGCGCTGCCTTTCTGGGGCCCTGGAAGTGAGCCGTGTCCAGTGCCTCAAGGCGAGGATACATCCGAGGCCCTCGCCTGTTCGCTGGAAGCTGGGAAAGCCAGTCACCATGCAAGAAGGTGCTTCCCTTTGCTTTAGGCTTAGGTTTATGGCTCGGATCCTACCCTCGAGTCTTCATTCGACTGCGCCCTAATTGTGCTTTGGAAACTGTAATCAAACTGGCTTTCTCTTCCCTCTTCGTTCTCTCGGACACACACACACACCCCTTTTTTTCTCTCCTTCTCTCCCGCTCCTTTCCCAGCCAAGGAATTTTAAGGCCTTTTAATCCAGACGATTGTCACATCTCAGGGTTTTAGCTCTTGCCCCGAAAGCAGGACCGACGCGGTTTGAAAAAAACGACGCCTCCGTCGAGCAAAACCTGCCGCGCACCACCGCGTATCTGCAAACGTGGGGCAGGTGGAAGAAAGCGAAGAAGAAAACGAGAATCAGAGCTGCGAAAGTGGCTGGCGCAGGTCCTGTAATTTGAACTGCATGGTTTCCTCATTTTAGTCCACATTTAGAAGCTAACATTAAACTGCTGTGAACCGTCCCCTGTGCCAAGTGTTTGCTTTGTACATTCTTTCTGACCTGTGAAGTGTGGACAGAATGTATGGCATATGCTAGAAAGATGTGACGGTAAGAATACAAGGATATTGCATTACATCATGCTTTCCTCATAACATCAGTGTAATCGTCAGGACCTATAAAGATCCAATGCATTCAAACTTAGCAAGTTAAAGAAACCAACCAAGGGCCTCTCGGTTGATTTACAAAATTAACATAAGATGGTGGTTATGTGCGGTCAAGTCATCCCGGACTTATGGACCCCACAAATGAGCAAACCCCAAAATTTCCTGTTCTCAACAGCCCTGCTCAGCTTTTGCAAACTTGGCCCTGTGGCTTCCTTTAGGGACTCAATCCCTCACATATTTGGTCTTCCTCTTTTCCTGCTGCTTTCAAACTTTCCCAGCCCCATTGTCTTTTTCTGTGACTCCTGCCTTCACACGATGTACCCAAAGTAGGACCACCTCAGTTTCAACATTTCTGCTTCCAGACATAATTCAGGATTGTTTTGATCTAGGATCCACTTTTTGTGATGGTGATTCCTATTACCTTTACAGCTAATCGAAAACATAATTTCTGCCACCAGTTTTGTGAATCTGGCCATTTCATGAGCACTTGTACCACCACTCCCATATCTATTAACACACTTTTTTTTTATCCAGCTAACACTACCAGACTTTTTGAAGAGTGTGTGGAGAAAGCGAGAAGATGACAACTGATCTCAGCACTTATTTTGAGTAAAGGCAAACTATTATCAGAGGAAGGCAAATAGAAACCAAGCTGTATGGGGAAGGACTGAAAGAAATGGGCATGTTTAGCTTTGAGAAAATAAGACTCATAGGGAGATACAATAGAACCTTTAAAAATGCTAGAGGAGGGGCAGGATCTGTTCTCAATCATTTCAGAGTGCAATACACATAATAATGGGTTCAAGCTACAGGAAGCCACAGTTAGATTAAATATCAGGGAAACCTCCTAACTGTTAGAGCAGTACAACAATAGAACCAATTACTTTGGGAGGTGGTGAGCATTCCAACATTGGAAGCATTCAAGAAAATCTTGGACAACCATCTGCCCAATCTGCTTTGATTTGGATTTGAGAGGTGGTGAGCGTTTCAACATTGGAAGCATTCAAGAAAATCTTGAACGACCATCTGCCCAATTTGCTTTGACTGGGATTCCTGCATTGAACAGGGGATGGACTCAATGGCCTTATGGGTCCCTTCCTAGTCAGTTATTCTATAGTTCTATGATTATGGCTCTTCCATCCCTGTACGTGTGTGCTATACTAGGAATGGAGGGTCCCAAGAGATTGTGCACATTTGGCTAGAGGAGACTATGTGAAGAGCCTGGGACACTAGAAATGAAGGATCCCACTGTGCTCCAATTGATTGTGCTTGTCTGGTGCATTTGATCAATGGGATGTGTTAGGCAGATGGGGGCATCTGAAATCAGCTCTCATCGCTCATTTATTTCAACCAAGCAAATATGTGGTCACAGTATGAGACGCTATCAGTGGTTCAGTACTGGTGGTTCACAGTAGATTATGGCACTTGAAGGGGCTGTCCAAGCAATCTTGCTGCCTGAGGCAAACCAAATCAGCTCTCATCACTCATTTATTTCAACCGAGCAAATATGTGCTCACAGTATGAGACGCTATCTGCACCAGTGGTTCAGTACTGGTGATTCACAGTAGATTATGGCACTTGAAGGGGATGTCCAAGCAATCTTGCTGCCTGAGGCAAAGGACAAATGGCACTATCTCACATCCCAAGTACAAAAGTGAGTCTGTTTGTAAGTCTATTCTTGTTTTTTCAAGATTGTTTTGGTCTTTTGCTGCCTAGCACCATAATGAAATCATCACAATCAGATCTAATTCCATTCTTCTGAGAGTTATTACTTTATACTCTTTTTTATAGAGAGTAGACTACTATTGTGGGTCTTCTTTGACAACCTCAGCTGCAGAAATAATAGATCTTTTAAAAAATTCAAGGTCTCTGCAAATCAGGGTCACAGGGCTTATTTTGCTAAGCAGTTTCCCACATCGTGTTTCTATTATAGGAAATGTAGACAAAAAATTATGCCATTCAGCCAATTGTTTTTATGCCCACAGTAAACAGCCTTCTCTTCTGACCATGATCAATAGCTTTGTGGCCAGGCCTAAGCAGTCTAAGTAGGAATAAGAATGTAAGAACATAACAAGAGCTGTGCAATTGTCAAATCAAACCAAAGTCCAATGAAGTCCACCATTCTGTTCCCATACAGGCCAGGATTGAGAGGTGTATTGCTTTTGAGAAGCCCTATTGAAACCCTAACCCTAAGGGATGGATACACACACACACACACAGGTCAAACGGAAGCCACATGGACCCTCAGAACTTGGAAGAGGTGGGAGGGATAGGGAACTTTCCATGAATTCAAATTAAATGTTTCCAGCACCCGATCCAAGTTACAGGGGTTCAGTTATGCAACAGGATTTTGCCTATTATGTTAACTGGTTGCAGCCTCCATGATAGGACCAGTTGAGACTTGAATGCAACTTGTGTTGACATAGATGCTTAAAAGCAATAAGAAACAGTGTAAGTACAGATAAAGCAAGTAAAACTTATTAGCAATTACAGAGCTTATTGGTTTAAGTTAAATGAAGTACCATATATTGATTGTATTGATCACAAAACCGCTTAAAAAGTGAATGCATAGACAGAGTGACACACAGAGAAAGGAAAAGTAAATATGAGCAACCCTTTAAGAATTTTTTTAAAAAAAGCTGGCTGGGTGAATGAACCATATTCCATTACATTAGATATGGTGTGTTATGTTAGATTTCTTAGTTTGGCATTTGACTCTAATATATTCTTTTATAATGTGGTTAAGATACCATCAACAGGGTCGTGGTGGCACTGTGGGTTAAACCGCAGAAGCCTCTGTGCTGCAAGGTGGGAAGAACAGCAGTCGTAAGATCGAATCCACGCGACGGAGTGAGCTCCTGTCGCTTGTCCCAGCTCCTGCCAACCTAGCAGTTTGAAAGCATGTTAAAATGCAATTAGATAAATAGGTACCCCCTCGGTGGGAAGGTAACGGTGTTCCATGTCTAGTCACGCTGGCCACGTGACCACGGAAACTGTCTTCTGACAAATGCTGGCTCTATGGCCTGGAAACGGGGATGAGCAGTGCACCCTAGAGTCAGACACAACTGGACTAAATGTCAAGGGGACCCTAAGATACCATCAGCTGATAATTTTCAATATGGTCACTGTGACAACTCCAGACCTACTGGAGTGTGCCACACTATAATTAAGCTGCCACCAACCATTCCCTACAAGGAGTCACACAGACCAGGAATGGATTTTTAACAAACAAAAGAACAAGGTTTATTTAAATAACAAACAGGGTAAATAAAAAGATCAGGTAAACAAGATACTGTAACGTGGCAAATTCCCAAACATATACCTATAACAGTTTGGTTCACACAGAACCCTTTAAAGTAAAGCACAGACCCTGAACCTATCAGTTCTGGCTACCTATAAAGAAACCTGAACCTATCAGGTATGTACTAACTGACACACAGTTGTACTCAGTCTGACACACAGACTCCCACTCCAGCTTCTCCTAAACTTCTCCACACAAGCTCCACATATATATAGCACTGTGGGTTAAACCGCAGAAGCCTCTGTGCTGCAAGGTCGGAAGACCAGCAGTCGTAAGATCGAATCCACGCGACGGAGTGAGCTCCTGTCGCTTGTCCCAGCTCCTGCCAACCTAGCAGTTTGAAAGCATGTTAAAATGCAATTAGATAAATAGGTACCCCCTCGGTGGGAAGGTAACGGTGTTCCATGTCTAGTCGCGCTGGCCACGTGACCACAGAAACTGTCTTCTGACAAATGCTGGCTCTATGGCTTGGAAATGGGGATGAGCAGTGCACCCTAGAGTCGGACACAACTGGACTAAATGTCAAGGGGAACCTAAGATACCATCAGCTGATAATTTTCAATATGGTCACCATCTTCTGTTTTTTCTGTAATGATTTTTCTTCCAAAGTGTGCATCCTCAAATAAATAGAGAAAATGTTTCAGCATGGGAACCTGCAATTTTCTGCACAGGAATGAGCCTGAACACTTGTGTGAGGATATCCAGAAAACGTTTCTAAAAGGTGTAATAAAATTGGGTTTCCACATTGGGGGGGGGGGGACCTCTTCCTGGAGGAAGAAAATTGTCACCTGGCACTTGTCTACAGGGTTCTGTACAAGGCCTATTCTTGAAAAG